AGTTGTTGTAGAGTTGTTGCAGAGATGTTATCGTAACTTTTGATAGTTGAAATAACCCAACAACACTAGTAACAATAGTCCATGTTGATTGCACTTTTACATATTTCGTGGAATTTGCATAAAATTAATTTATTATTTGTGCTGGCTCGCGTATAATACATAAATGCTCTATTAAATCCTTTATCAAGGACATTTTGCGCGTGCAGACATCCATTATTTAAAAATTTTTGCCTGCATTATTTCATATGTTAACATGCAAAATAATGGAAAAACAAAACTTTAAGGGTTTTGTTTTTTATGTTTTGAATATGTTGCAAAAATAGTTGCACCCAAGGGGAATGCAATTAAAATAATTATTTAACGATGGGTGCCCTACAATTCTTATTTGATCACAGCCATTTTGTAATTGTAATTTCAAAAATTTTAATTATTGTTAGAGTTTGATTACAGTGGGACATATTGTAAATTTTCACTTCGTTTGTGAACGGTATATAACACCCAGATTCCAATTAATTAAACTACATATAAGAAATATCACAACGTAAGTGTACATATTAAGATTAAAACAATTTAAATTAATTAGTTTTCGAGCAAAGCATAAAAATGTGATCTAATAGCACTTTCTTAAAGTGAGCTCATAAGTAATCTATATAAGGAATACCTGAGCATATCATTTAATTGTACATAATTTTAATAGAATTTAAAGACTTATATAGGTATTGCAGCGTTCCCCATTATTGCCTTATTCGCAAGAAGTTATTTCGTACCGATATTATTTTAAATCTAAAGTCAATTATTGGATTGATTTTTGCTTAAAGGTAGTATATTTTAACCTATTCGTCAGTACTTTCAGTTACTTTTAAATTGTTTATATATTTGCTATAACTGTTGGTGTGGCTTATTTAAAATCCGTAGGGCGAAACACATTTGAATTACTAATAAAATAAATAATATATTAAATGTGTGTGTAATATTTTTATGAATGCAATGATTATACTGTGTTTAGACAGACAAATTTCCTTTATTTTATTTAAAATGAAATTAAGTTAATTTCGAAAGTGTTCATACTGCCCCAAATTAAGGAAATTATATGTTTTTTGTTTTACAAATCGCATGTTAAGAATTACAATCACCATTAGTACCTGGGACATTTTACAAGATTATTATAAATATAAAGGATGTGTGTAAATTATTATTTGTTCTCTACTTTAAATTAATACCAGTTACAGTTTTTTCTCTATATTCAAATTCAAAAATTTGCACTACTCTCAAATTATTTTCTCGATTTCATTAAAGTCAACTGTCACATTTATTTAAAATAAATTAATTTATTCATTTAAAATTAAAATTAATTTATTTAAAATTAAAAAATTATAATTAATTTATTTAAAATTAAAGATAAGTTAAGGTAACCACTTAATTTATCTTTACCTTACAATTTACCTTTCGCATAGTTGCATTTGAAAGGTCCCTTAATATCTGTCATCGTTTTAATGAATCTAGTGCCATTTTCCCTAATATCGTTCAAACCTTAAAACTGAGTTTTGTATGGAAAAAAAACAAGTTCATTTCGCTGAAAGGAAAATGATACCAGATTTTTTACGAAATTAAATTTTTCCGAACAAGGCATGAAAATGCTATCTAATAGCACTTTCTTAAAGTGAGCTCATGAATAATCTATATAAGGACTAATAGAGCATATCTATTAATTGTACATAATTTTAATATAATTTAAAGAATTATATAATAATTGCAGCGTTCCCCATTTTCGCTTTATTTAGAAGGAATTGTTTCATACCAATATTATTTTAAATCTAAAATCAATTATTGGATTGATTTTTGCTTAAAGATAGTATATTTTAACCTATTCGTCAGTGCTTTCATTTATTTTTAAAATAAATTATTATTTGCTGTAACCGCTGGTGTGGCAAACGGTTGCCACTACGGTAACTTTAGTACACAAATTGGTACCAAGAAAATTTTGGACCTTTTTTTACAGAAATGGTACCTTTTGAAACCAATTTTGGTACAGGAAAAAATTTTCAAGTGGCAACTGTGGGTGTGGCTTATGCAAAATGAGTAGGAGGAAAGACATCTAAATTATTAATAAAATAAAAGATGTTTAAAATGTGTGCATAATATTTTCCTGACTATAATGAGAGATAAACCCGATAACACCTTATTCTAAAGACAGTAAACTTTTTTAAAATATATTCAAATGTTGCAAATGTGGGAAAAGTTTCCGTCATCACCTCTTGATTTTGGAACTTGTTTTCCCTATATTTAATTCAAAAAAATTAATTAAATACTACATTAAATTTTAAACTTATTAAACTTATAGTTTATTATTTTAAGCTTATTTAAATATTGTATAGTGTGCTAAATCAATACAATGTGTTAATACCATATTATACATTTTGTAATTCTTTATATGATATAAAATTATAAAACTTGATTTCGTAAGTTTGCCCCACTGTACCAAACAAAACTTTTCAATTTTTTATAAAGGATCAAAATCATATTTATATTCATATTGCACACAACATTTACTAGAGTTTATTTTTAATTTTTTTATAGCAAAGATTGGAATCTAATTTTCGATTCAGTCAGATTACAAACTTTAATTATTTGGTTCAATATGAGATACAGAACTGTCCAAAGTGCTATGAAACAAACCACCCCATTCAAAATAAAAATTTCAGTTCTGATCCACTTCAGGGATAAGCTTTGATTTAATCAGAAATGCAAACGGTGCACCGATAGCACAAAAGAGGGTGCTCATTGTGTGCATATACCTTGGCAAAACTACACCTAAGAGCATTAAAACCTATTAAATAACGGCACATATATCTACAACTTTTTGATAATAACAAAAACAAAATTCATATACACATTAATGTATGTACGCGCACAACAAAAGGCTCTGTACGTAGTTATTAAAAAGTATTCGGCATTAAAATTATGCAGCTGAGTCAAAGCCAAAGGACATTTTCAACTAAATAACTGTGCTCAACTGACTGTCTGAGTGACTGAGTGACTGAACTGACAGCAAGGATACATGACTGAAACCAAAATCGGGGGTTACTACCAGTGCCTGTTAGGTTGATTGCGCTTGCGCTGAGTGATTCCAGCAGGAGCAGATGTTTCGTTCGACCCCAGCACGGGATACTTTGTTGTTGGTTTCTGCTTTATTTGGTTTGATGGTTCTTTTGTGTTGGAAAATGAAATTTCATTTTATTGTATTTATTTATTTTTTTTTTTTTGGTTTTTTTTTTGCTTTGTCAGAGTAAAAATTTAATTGATTCGAGTTTTGTTATTTTTCCTTGTTGGTACGTGGATTTGGACGTGCCAATGCTTAAAGCAACAAATTTTATATCCTGTCCTTCATGGAATTTATACATTTTGAAAATTTGGCTTTAGGCATTTTTTCATGGGATATCAGTAAAATTCATCGGCACTGTGAGTAGGCAAAGATTAATGAAGAGAATAAAGAGTTTGGCTTGGTAGGGTGGATTTCTCGTTTGCGTTACATTTACACACAAGTGAATGTATCTCATGGTGCATGCGTAAAATTTTATAGTTAGTTAAGAAACAAAACCAGTTGGATTCACTTCGATTCACAAAATGTAATGTATTTCCGCGAAAATCCATTGTTCTGGTATTTTCCGCATAAGGCACACTTCACGCACGTGCCGTGAAAATCATACAAGTCAAAATGGCAATAATTCATTTTTAAAATATAATTTCAGATCAGGTTAAAATAATATATAAAAATAGACTATTGACACTTGTTATAAAAGTGAGATTTTCTTCTCTTATTGTTAGAACTTCTCTTAAGAAATATCAACGCAAAATAATAACATATCAAATCGTTTCAAAACCTTTCATATACCAAGACCAGTTCAAAATCTCTAACGTCATCAGAGTTTTTGCTTTTAAGAAGCGGATATTCCTAAGCATTTAGACTCAGTAACTTAAACTGCAATGTAAATCATCACACAACGCACCTCTAACGCTGATATGGGTTATCATTTCCATATCAGTAGATGCCAGACAATATTTCAGTAAATAAACTCCCAAAGAAATTATCTGGTAATTGGTGACTATTTTTTGTCTTTGATCATATTAATCAGTGAGGGTGACTAATTTAGGTTTTTACTTTTATTCTATGAAGACATAATAGTTAAATATAACGAACCATAATCACAATTACCTATCTGCCCAACTACTTAATTAAATCATTCTATATCAGTTTACTGACTTTACGAAATCACCATTTCTTGTACAAGGTTTTCAAAATTTTAACTCCCTTATATGGATCAGATGATCCATATTATAAAATCACAAATCATGAACTAAATATATGATACGAAATTGATAACTCTTTATGTTAAGACCTATTTTTTCTTGATATGTTCTATACGTAGTTACAGAAGCCGTTCAGTTCTTTTATATACATATATTCCAACGTATGGTTTGCTTCGTTATGCAGATTGCTTTTTTCCTGGGCGTGTGACCAATCTACTTCCATTTTCTTTTTTAGATTTCAGTGGCAGCTTGTATTTGTTCCGTGCGTTCCCGGTCAGGAGTTGGATATGCACTCCGGCCACCATATTTTCAGTATTCTTCTTAAGCATTTGTTTATAAAGACTTAAATCCGCGATTGAATGGTAGCCGAGTTTTTCCACATTTCGCATCCATAATATAAAGTTGATTTAACGTTCAAGTTCAATATTTGAAGCTTAGTAAGAGTGCTTATTTGATCAACACTATCAACAGGATGATGTGGCTAATATATAACATACAAAATATGTAGTAGTTTTCAATGTAACAATTGAAAATTGAAACTTAAAAAAATTATATGTAGGAGATATATATATGTCCATATTACAGAACCTGATATCTGCTATCAGCTGATTGAATTTTTTAAACATAAAAATGCATACATGTCGTTGTTATATCCGTAGTTTTAATTTAAACATTTTTTAAAGACAATATGGTATGGCTTATAGCTAACTATGATATCATTATCCCTCTTTACGATACTTATAATTGAAATGAATGAAAGCAATATTTAATAATATCAAGTTATTCTACAAAATTACTTTAAACTATTATTCTAAATAATTTTGTTTCAGTTTTGTTTATGCTTTATTGTAGCACTTTATAAGATTAAAAAATTTGGCTGAAATATTTGGTAAAATTAATAATTAATGCTTTGTTAGTACCAAAAATTGGCAATACCTCTTTCTCCTTCTAACAGAAATCAGTATTAATAAGATAGAAAGTTTTTAGGATTAATATGCACTATATACACAGTATTACTGTAGTTCTATATTAACGATCCTTTTATGTTAATCCTAACCTTACCTGACTAACGATGAATTTTTCTTCCTTCAAACTAAACTTATTAATGTACATATGTGTAAATGAAAAGCAATAACTTTTTTTTTGTCATATATTTTTAATCCCATTCTTCGAAACCTTTTACATTATTTACTGAATCTGAGGATAATAAATTGTATGCATAATATATTTTGTAATAAAAGCAACAATTGTTGAAAAATTTCCATAATCAACCACAAAATAATCCATAAAATTTTATTTCTATAACTTTGAGGTAAACGCTAATGCGCAGTGCAGTGTCAGTGAGAAGCGATGATCAATCAAAGTTCACTGCTGGGGTGTTGATGTACAATAGTCCTATCTGTACGAGAATGCGTGATGATCAGTTGAAGAATAAAATACAAAGACCTGAAAAATTAAAATGAAAGGCAAATCAACCATAAACTTGGCTTTGGGTTAAATATTATATTGTAGGCAATAAAATTAAAATCATTTTCGATTAAATGCAATTTATTGAAATCCATTCATAGACCGGCTGTTCAAATATTTTACAACCAGAAAAACAAATTTTAAGTGAGTACTGCAATATGTAATTATTATTTTAAATAAAAAATTTGAAATAATTATTATAGTTTAACTAAGCTTACTTAAACATAGTTTTCGACAGACTGTTTCTGTGAGAACAAAACAAACTGTTCTGAACTATATCAGAAATCAATTTAGCGCAAAAATCAAAATGACAGCAAATAAAAAATTGATTTTTTTTTAATTTACTATTTTAAACAAACTCGTCAATCCTTATGTTATTCTCGTATAAACTTAATACTATGAGTAGTTCTGTAGAGCATCCACTTGTATTACGGAAGTACTTCTCATTTTTTCGACATCAATTTGCTCTTAAAATTTATTTGTTCACAACTGTGTGCATTCCTAGCTTAGATGACTTTCGATCATATTTTGGTAGAAATAAAATGAAATTTTCAAAAATCTCTGAAACATAGAAATCCACTTGAGCCGACGACAAGTATCGACACAGTAAGAGCCACTTTCATTCATATTTCTTGAACATTTCCAAACATTTTCATTGCAGTTTGTTCCACACTTCTCATGTTACAGAGCTAATTTTATCGTACAAGTGTGATCCTTACAGTCACGGCTACCAGCAGGATCGCAGGACACTAAAGTAATCGGTTTGCTTGATTGATTTAATATATGCGAGCGTGTTCGTTTTGTAATGTGCACATATGGTGTGCCAAATGATTTATGATGCCTCAGTGATTTCAAAGTAAAAAACTAAAATAATTAATGTTAGTAAGAGAACAAATAAAAAACTAGAACTATACAGTATTATTGTAATATAATATATAGTGTATACCTTAGTAAAATATAATTATCTTACAAAAAATATAGAGATAAATATATTTATAAAGTGGAGTGTATTTATTTTATCCATTGGAAATTGTCAATAACTTTCAAAAATAAATGCTTTCACATAAGTTAAATTGCATTGAAACTGTTTGCGATTGTATTTACTCAAAAATCAGCCTCAAACCTCAAATACAGTGGCCCATATAGCGAAATTGAAAGCAGGTCTAAAACTATAGAAACAGTTTTTAGTAAATTTATTACTAAATAGAGAGAAATAGAAAAAATAGAAATAGAAATACAGCGGATAGCAGTATTCTAGCAAATGTTATTAAATCACACTATGCGTCCCTTAAAAACACAAGATCCGTACTAAAGGCAAAATCTTCAACACTATTTTCAACTATACTGTTGAAAAAAATTGTGTTCTTTAGCTCGGAAAACTGGAAGGTCACAGAATATAACCACTAAAGGCCAAATTCTTTTTTAGTAAGTACCTTTGTCAAGTACGATTTCTAACGTTTTACTGACTGTATACTTATCCATACTTTTTGGATGGATCAATCTTGTAAAACACTGTATGAATATTAAAACTAATGAGGCAAACTCTGTCTCTCCTTTTCATTACATATGAAACTCATAATTATGATATTTTTCTTTTAAAATTCAGTGATTAAAAATGAATTCAGTATATATTTTACTGTTATTAATCCAATAAATATCTTTAAAGTTCTTCAAATATACTTTATCTTTTGACTCTGTAAATAACTACATACAAAAATAATATAAAACTCCTTCTTATTTTCAATAAAGCAATATTTAAAATAAATAAATTAATAAAAATGTTTGTTTAGTTTGTTGATCTTTCCCATCGCATTCCTCCTTTCCTCTTTTTCATAAACGATGATCAAGTTATTCACACAGGATGTGCCACCGGATCACATTAAGTACTACTTTTGTTAGGCAAAGAATTCAATAAATAATGAAACTGACATGTAAATATGCAATCGGAGACGAAACATGAAATTTTTGACTTCAATATTATGGAGAATATAAATTTCTAACAAGACAATATTAATTTTATCGTGTATATTGTAAAGTACTATTTTATATCTATTATGATTTTCATACGAAATAAAAATGTAGTATTCTTTAAAACATTTTTCAAAATATAAAAATAAATTTTTTTTTTATTTCCATAATTACATATAGAAACGAGTGTTAATTATATATTATTTTAAAGGAATAAATTTATATTCAATGCAGCGTAAAAAATTATTTTATAAACAACTAAGACCAAAGTACTCTTAACTTACGGTATACACCCTACAACGTCTGGTAGTCCTTTTATAGCACAGCATATAAATTGAAACAATAGTTAATCGCATGATCGTTTGCATTTTGTTGGTGACTTTTGGATAAAAAACATTTATGAAAAAAAATAAATTATTTTTATTAAGTTCAACCCTTAAATTTTATAAAAAAAATCTATTGAAAACATGTTTCTGAACTCCAACAACAACTTGCTTTTTTAAGGTGTATTTTTTGCACATGGTTTCATTATTTGCTGGTTTTGCACTGTGCAGTGAGGACATGTCCCTACACACAAACCCTTTCCATTTTAATAAACAATTGCACCAATCCTCGTAATTTTTTACGCTCACATACACCACAAATAATAAAAACAACTCAAAAGGATACGTCACTGCATGCATGATTTTGTTCAGTATTTCAGTCCCCTAGGGTAACAGGACAATAGCATTAAATATATTGTTAAGCCATAAAGCGTACAATATTAATTTAGTTTTGCGCAGAATTATTAAAAAAGAGATTTTTGCTTTTAATTTAATGAAATCTTGTAGGGATATATGAGCTTCCTGAAAGCCTGTTTCCGCAGATATGCGTAAAAACGTCAAACAAATGAATTCCCGAATTCTCTAATAGCAAAATATAATAAAATTATTTTGTATATAGCGCTAAATCAAAAATTTACTATACGCCACTGTTATTGTTATATTGACGTAATCAGTAGTATAGGACACCCTGATGGGTGAAGTGTATCGTTGTAGCTTTTGTATCTGAAAGTCTAGGTTTAACAAAAAGACAAAAAAAATAATATTTAACTAAAAAGATATTCAACACATTAAACTCATTTTGTTGTATTGTATATTTATTTTATATTATTTATTCACTTTATTTTGTTTTTTCTATATTTTATTTTATTAAATATTATTTTATTTTTTGTTTAATTTTGTTTGCTTTTATTATGTTATATATATTTTTTTTAACTATAAATAATTAAATATTAGTTTATTTTATTTTATTTTGTTTTATTTTGTTTTATTTTGTTTTATATTATTTTATTTTATTTTATTTTATTTTATTTTATATTATTTTATTTTATTTAATTTTACTTAATTTTATTTTATATTATTTAATTTAATTTTTCTTTCGTTTGATTTTATGTGCTATATATAGTATATTACTTTATCTTATTCTATTTTATTTTTCATTTTACTTTTCATAATTTATTTTAAAGAGGTTTTTCGAACAGTAGTGAACTACAACAACAAAAAATAATTTTATATTATTTAATTTAATTTAATTTTTGGCTGACCATACAGCAGTTTTGAGTATTCCAAGACCCATCATCAGTGGTATTGGAAATAATTCTTGTATTTAATTATAGTAAATAATTATTTTTTAAGACTACAAGTACCAGGAATCGAACTCGGGTCCTGTCAAATGTAAAACTCAGAGTCCACGCACCTTAACCAACTGATCCAAAGCCGTACTTGACTTTTTTTTATGTTCGCATATTTTTCTGGAGTTTTGTTACTTTTTGCTATGAAAGTTTTTATTAACAATTTTACTTGCTGTGTTTATATTAGAACGAAATCATAAACCAGCTGTAGAATAATTGAATTAATTAATTAATTATTTTTATATTTTTAATTGTTAAATTTTAATACTATTCCGTTCGTAGAGGCATGATTTATTATTTTAGTTAACAAAGTAAATCCTCAAATGACCTTAAAGTTCAAAAATAACACGTCTTTGACGATTAAAAATTACAAATTTTGTCAAATAATTATTTTCTGTTAGAGAGTCTTTCATGTTCTACACCCATATATATTCTAAAGGCTATTGTAAGTGCCTATGCTTTAGAGTATATTATTTTATTATATTTTACTGTTTTATACAATTTTAATATATTTTATGCAGTTAAGTGCTCTTTCGTTTAACTGGAGGTGCCACATCCTGTAACCAATATACCAACTGATTGTGCTCTGATAGAACGTTTTCCAAAAGCTATCTTCGTAAATAGATACTATTTTTATTTTAATTAAGGAAGCTTTTTACTATAACACATATGTCCAATATCACAGGATTTGTAATTAGCTCCTATGTATGTGTTATTTTTTTTATACAATCTTCTTTGATGGTATTTTATATTATTAGTTTTTATATTACTTAATTAATGTAATTTAACAAGAGGACAAAAATTTTTTATTTGAATTTTTTCACTAACAGTGTCTTCAGAGATATCTAAAATGCAATTCCCCCATAGTTCCCAATGTGTCAAGAGAAGTAGGCTATAATATTTTTTTACAATTTTGAGGATTGCATAAATATATAAAAAGGATAAATAAATCATAATTATTGTTTATAGAGATAAAACTACTTTCAGATTATGATGGATAGGACACGTTCAGCATTTGAACCGAAAATGATCAGCAAAACAAGCACTTACAAAAAACCTAATTAGATTCTGAAGAAAAGGCAGCCCTAGACAGAGGTAGCTAGATAATGCTTAAGAAGATTTAATGAAACTACAAGTGAGAGATTGAAAAACCTTGGAAACGGATTGAACCAGATTGCAATAATTGGTTGTGGAAGCACTGGTCCAACCAGGACTGTTATGTTAAGAGAGAAGAAGAAGAAAAGATAAAACCAGTGTCAGACAAAAAAGCGCAGCCATTTATATACCACAAATGACCTTCAAATAGATACGCTCTTAATACGTATTGATATTAGTACAGATATAGATAAAGATATATTGTTGAATGTATGTTTAGAGATGCAGGAAAGAAATATCTTCAAGAAATCTGATACAAAAATATTAATTTATTCTATTAATTTTTGCGAATAATTGGGAGTTAGTTTAATTCAACCGACCATTTCATTAGTCAACCTGATTTACCTCAAAAATGTTTAAGTTTGTAGTTGAAAGAATACTTTTAGTTGCAGAATATGAGGCCGAATAGGCTTAATAGTTAATTATATAGTATTATACTATAGTAATGGTTAATATAGCAAATGATTTAGTTGAATAATACTTCATATTAGTATATGTACCTAAATGTATAGTTGTACTTTAAAACAAATATTTTTTTTTTAATTACTGATATATACTACATTTGCAGAATATATATGGAAAATATATATGAAAAATATATAATGTATTTCGTAT